CGCTTAACCTTCGCCCCCTTTACGACCTGAGCCCAATTACTAGCCACCTGGGAGTCGGCACTCGACGCGCTGTCAAAGGACGAAAGGGCCACCCTCCCAGTAAAGTCCGGAAGGCTGGGGAACCCCCGGAGTGCCTCCTCCACCCTAACTACCCTCGCCACTAAATCATCCCTCTGTACCTCGCCCACCTCCTTCCTGATCCCCCTAATCTCCTCCTCCACGCTAATGAGCCTTCCCGATAGCTCCCCTAGTCGCTCCTCCAAGCTACAGACTCTGCATACCTGGCATACCTCTCGTTCACTAGTCCCACCTACCCAATCCCCGCAACGAACGCATCTACACATCTTAGGCATCTTACTTAATGTTATTGATCCCTATTGACACTCCTACTGCTTTAGACTTATACTTTGCAGTACTTCACACTAGTTGTAACCCGGTAAGACTGTACTGTCCTAGTCCTTGTATTAATAGTAAAAGGAATACTACGAGTAATGTGCTAATACTTAAAGTAATTAAGCTGATTGATACTGATCTAATGTGAAGTTGGAGGTAGCTATCAGAAAACTTATGAATACTGCTACAAAGTAGCCAGGTAACAACTAACTCACGACTTAGCTGACAGAACCTCGAGAGTATCCTCCAACACGTCCTCACGCTACGAACGCTCGACCAAGACTCAAGAGTAGGGAAATCGTGAAAAAGGGGAAAGGAACGTGGAGATGTAGACTCCAAGATTCGCGTCAATCTTTTCTGCATCCGGAAATACACATGGAGCACACAAACTTCTTCGTGAGATAAGTGAAATGTGAGATTTCATAGCTCGCAGGTTTTTCAATATCTCCGTCATACTTTGTCAGCAAAGAGACCTTACCATAGTAGCACATAACAATGAATCAACATTGATTCAATGCTGATTCAACAGCCGGGTGTTGAATCAACATTGAATACATGTTGTTCCAATGTTATGTGCTACAAGGGTATGTACCTACCAACAGAAACTCCAAGTCGTCCAGCAATATACGAGGGTCGCTCCAAAACTAAGGCACGTTCATTTTTTTCTGGTTCATCTTTTGACTGAATAATTCCAAACGTTTAAGGTGAGTAGCCTAGTGTTTTTATAGGTCTCAACCTTTTTTTAAATTGTTCCTATAGCAATCAAGGCACTTTCCTGTGCTTCACAAAGTCGTGTATGCTTTCGCAGTAAAATTCCTTGCCGACATTACGAAGCCATTTTTGACAGCCTCATTGACTTGATAGCCAACCTTAGGGCATCCGATGGTGTGGAGCTCCTGAAAGGCATTTTGACCCATGCCGATGGTCTCATATCCCCCTGGTTGTGACATACCTGCCATTTTGAAAGTGTTCATCAACCTCGGCGGCGTTCTCATCTGCGCTTGTCTTTGGGCTCGGTTTCTCCCGACTTAGAACGACTCACCCATCGCCAGACTATGCTCTTGTCCTTGCAGGACTCTCTGTAGACCAGCTCGAGTCGTCTATGTCTGCTTGTCACACACCCTTCGCATTCAGAAATTCAATCGTTGTGCTGCTTCTGATGCGATTTCAGCAGAGCTGCCATTTTGGACGTGTGCCCAGCAAGGGCACCGAAGCGGAATTCAATGAAACTGCAGCAACAAATGCGGAAAGGGCGAAATGTTGGCCTGAAAGATATTTCATCGATGTAGCACAAGAACTTCCGAAAATAAAATTAAACGTTCATTACTTTTTTAGTGACCCTAGCAATAAGTTAGATGAGGATTTGTTGATGACAATGGCCTTATTCCCGTTGAACCCTTTCATTCCGAAGCAAAATTATCTCTCATAAAAGGCCAATATATCGGCACCTCGGGATGCTAAGCGGAAAAAAAGACGAACCAAAAGGGCGATCTTGAGAGGGCAGTCAGACAACGGGATCATTAAGGCCAAATCTTAACATTGATTAGAGGAGCAATTAAAAATGCTCATGGGGGAACCTTATTCCTCTATATATCTGTTTTCCCTGAAGAAATTCCATTATTAAATTTCCCGAATCGGACAAGAAACCTGAAGGAGTTTCACCATGCGGGTGCAATGGTTACACTTCGGCATCACTGATACTCGACAGCACTGCATGAAACTCATCGTAAAAGGGGAACATAGAGTCTCTTAAAGATTTCCCTTTAAAAAATGATCTCAGTACGAAATCTTTAAAGTACTGTGAAAACTCGTTAACTCGAACTTTTAGGGATCGGGCAAATCGTTTCGAGCTATCCGAAGTTCGAGTTATCAGGAATCGCCCCCCCCCCCCCCCC